ACACCACACCCTCCTCCTGGCTGCACCAGGCGCAGGGCTCAGCGGCCAGGGCCCAGGTTCGGTCCCAGCTCTGACCACAGCCTGCCTGGCCTCGTGTAAGACCACTTAGTGGGGCTTCTGAGGTTTTGATCACGGCTCCTTCCCCCTCACCAGCCTCTGCCCCACCTTGGAGGGGAAACGGCTGCCACCTCCCGCCATGGACAGGGGCAGCGAGGCTGCCACGTCTCCTGCCTGTGCAGCCCGCCGCAGCCATGGCCGCCCCGGGTCACGGGCAGTTTCTGGAGCCCATGTGGGGCCTCGTCTCAGCTCTATCCCTAGTTTCCAGCCAGTCCCTGGGTTCTTCCTGCCACCCCAGGACCCCGCTCAGGCTGATGGCACAGGTGGGCCCCTCCCTCCTGCCCCTGGAACTTTCTGGGCCATCGCAGCCTCCCTTTAGGACCCTGAGTTCCCCTCCCGCTCTGACAGGCTTGCTCGGCCCTGAGCAGTGACTGCCCTTCCCAGGGCCAGCGAGAACAGAGGCTCACCGCGTGTGCCCGACCCCTGTGCCCTCACACACGGTGCATGCGACATCGGCGTCACTCCCCTTGGGGACTTGGGGACACTGGCGAGGAGGGGGGCTCTGAGGTCTGGCGGCCCCTCTGCCCTGGGCGCCGCCCCACAGCTCGGCCTCTTTGCAGATCATCAACCATGACACCCGGCGGTTCCGCTTTGCCCTGCCGTCACCCCAGCATGTCCTGGGCCTCCCTGTTGGTGAGTGCGGCCCCCCCCAGCTCTGACGGAGGCGGGTGCGAGGGCAGAGGGGGGACTTTGCACTTCAGGGAGGGAGGGCTTCCAGGAGGAGGTGACAGCTGCCGTGGGCCTTAGAGTAAGTGTCAGAACGAGAGAGGACTTACCCCGGTGGCCCTGGCGGTGGCTTCAGCACAGCAGGGGCTGGTGGTGGGTAGCTGGGCAGCCCTGAGGTGGCAGTGGGAGCTGAGCAAGGGCCGGTTTGAATGCTGGGTGGGCACCGGGCGGTTGGTTGACCAGGCCCAGCAGGGATAGCCCCTGACCCAGGTCACCGCTGCCCATCCTGCAGGCCAGCACATCTACCTCTCGGCCCGGATCGATGGAAACCTGGTCATTCGGCCCTACACGCCCGTCTCCAGTGACGACGACAAGGGCTTCGTGGACCTGGTCATCAAGGTGAGGTCTGGGGGCAACACCACGCGGAGACGGGGGTGGGGGTGACCACATCGTAGCCGAGGCCTCCGGGGACCCTTGTCCCCTGAGCCTGGTCTCTGCGGGCCTGGTGCCTCACGCCGGTGCCTCTGCGCCTGGTTCTGAGTGCAGAGCAAATGTGCCCGACCAGCACCGGCCACGCGTGGGGTCTGGGCAGAGGGCAGGGCCGGGCGCGGGTCCTCACACAGGGACAGCTCATCTGCAGAAGAGGGACCAGGCGGGCCGAGCGCCGGCCCAGCTCGCTTTCCCCTGCACTGCGTTCAGGGGAACTCCGTGCCCAGCGGGTCCCTTTCTGGGCACCCTTCCCTAGGAAACATTGCACACACTCGTGGCCTGGGGAGCGCAGAGTGGGGCGACACAGGGCAGGGGTGGGTGAGAGCTGCTCCTGAGCGGGCGGCAGCGAGTGCGATCTGGCGGCGAGGAGGCAGCGATAGCTGAAGAGAAGTGCCTTCAGGTGCAGAGGCCCTGAGGCCAGGGGGGAGCACAAGGGCTAAGGCCCCAGAGGCAGTGGGTCAGGTCCGATGGGTCAGCGGGGCAGGCGGGGCCTGGGAGGTGCTGGTAAGGTCTGGGGCTTCATGCAGAAGCAGAGGGAAGGGGTGAGGGTTCGAGCATCTGTCCTCGTTGAATCCACTCCGGAGGTGTGGGAGGTTCAAGTAGAGGATAAAAACTCACGCTGACCAGGCCCCTCCTGGCTGGGGGGCCACGCTGGCCGCCATTGGCCCAGGATAGAGGTCACAGTCCTGGCCTGGCACACAGCGTGCCCTGACCGCCCTTCCCTCTCCCTGCACTCCCTGTCCCCCCACAACCCCCACACACCGCCCCTGTGCTGTAGCCGTCGGGCTCCTCCCCTCCCTGAGGCCCAGCCCTGGCAGGCGCCTGGCTGTTGCCCTCCCTCCCTCCCCAGCCGCCTTTCTGTCTGCCCGTCACTCTGGCTTGCCCTTCAAGGCCTGGGGAGCATGCCCCGAGCGGCAGGCAAGTGCGCCTGCCTCCGTCTCCATCTGAGGGCTGTGTTGCTTCCTTTTCCCAAAGCTGGAGCCCCGAGGGCGCCAGGCAGGAGTTGTTCTGAGGGTGAGGCTTTCACGGCAGCGGCGGGTGGGAGAGCTGCACAGCACGGAGGGTGTGGCCGCCACCTCCGCCGCCGCAGCTGACAGCCTCCTTGGAAAGTCACGCAGCTGACAGCCTCGTTGGAAGGTCACGCAGCTGACAGCCTCGTTGGAAGGTCACGGGAAGTTCTTGGAGGACCGTCAGTACGTCAGATGCAGCCACGGGGTGGGGTCGGCTGCCTGTGTCCACCAGGCTGCCGCTTTGCCTTCCAAGGACACGTCGGGGAAGGGCCGGCTCCTGGGGGTCCGGGCACAGCCGGTGCCTTTTGATGGGTGGGTGGGGCGCTCTGAGGGCCACCCCAGGCTGCAGAGGAGCCCCTCAGAGTCACGTCGCATGAGGCAACCCTGGGAACGGGAGTGAGGCCTGTGGGTGTGTCTTGCAGGTTTACTTCAAAGACACCCACCCCAAGTTCCCCAGCGGAGGGAAGATGTCCCAGTACCTGGAAGGCATGAAGATCGGGGACACCATCGAGTTCCGGGGCCCGAACGGGCTGCTGGTCTACCAGGGCAAAGGTGAGCGGGCTGGAGCCCCTGAGACCTGCAGGGCCTGACTGCTGCTTCTGGGTGACTCTTGTCGGACAAGCTGTCTCCTCTGCGGGGCCTCAGTTTCCCCAGCTGTACAGGGGATAAGTGAGCCAGCGCAGTAGTTACAGCTGCTGCCCTTGGAGGCCACATCCAGCCCACAGACCAGCCTCGTTTGGCTGAAAACAAGCGGGAGGTTGTGCCGGAAGCCTCCGGGCGCCAGCCGCTGTCGCTCCCCACGCCGTCTGCTCCTCATGCCGTCCATACGAGGGAGCCATGCTGGGCTCCTCTGGCATTCGAGTTGGTCCTGTGTCCCACTGCCCCTCTCTCCCCCTACCTGGCTGGTGTTGGATGGTGGGTGCCTGCGCCTCGGACCCCCAAGCGGGCGGGTTCTCCAGCCCATCCGACCCCCAGACACAGCGTGTTGGAGCGTGGGCCTCACCCCTTCTCCTCTCCCCAGGAAAGTTCGCCATCCGTCCGGACAAGAAGTCCAACCCAGTCATCAAGACGGTGAAGTCTGTGGGCATGATCGCGGGCGGGACAGGTGTGTGGTCCCGGAGCCCCTCGCGGAGTCCCCAGCCCGTGGATGCTGTGCGTGGGGTCAGGGTGTGGGGCGGGGCACAGATGTGAGCAGCTGTGAGCTGCCCGAGGTCCTGGCACCCCCCCCCCCGGCGCCCACGTGGCACCTGGCCTGTGTGCACAGCGGGGCCTCACGCAGCCTGGGGGCTGCTGTTTTGCAGGCATCACCCCGATGCTGCAGGTGATTCGCGCCATCATGAAGGACCCGGATGACCACACCGTGTGCCACCTGCTCTTTGCCAACCAGGTCAGTGGGCGTTCCCGACGTGCAGACCCCGCCCCTGCTGAGAGAGGCGCAGAGCCTGGGGGTCATGGTCTGTGAGGCGCTCCGGCAGCTAACGTGAGGGGTGCTCTGAGTGTGTGTGCCCGGCACCCTTTGCAGCAGCGGGTGGGGGTGGGGATGGGGCTTTTCAGCCCAGAGCCCCGTGTCTGGCCTGACACTTGGGGGTTGGAGAGGCATCAGGCAGCTGGAGCACCCCCACCTGAGACTTGCTCCTCCGAACCTCAGAGCTCCCTCCGTGAGCAGAGCTCAGAACCCCCCAGTGAAGTGGGCAGATGCTGGCCGTGCCTGGAGACGGGCCGTGTCACAGGAGAGGTGCCGAGTCCACCTGCACTAGGGCCCTGAGCTGGGGTGTCGGCAGGGTTTGGACCTGGTCTCTCACTCCTGAGTGCATGTCCTCCGCGCCCGCTGCCTGCCCACCCTGGCCGCTGTGTGGCCTTGGACAAGTCACTTTCCCTCTCTGTGCTTTCCCTCCGCTGGAATGAGCAAGGTCATCACAAGTCCTTCTGGTTCAGTGTTTCATGGCTGATGATATAGGTTTTATAGTGACGTCCCCTTAGGGGGAGGCTCGATAAGACATTCCTTCCCACAGTGTGGAGGCCGTGCCAGGTGCAGGCTGTGTCTGGTCCAGTCTCTGCACCATCCATCTGTGAGGAAACTGAGCCCGGGGGGGTGGAGACTGGCCTGAGGTCCTTGGACCCTGCAGTTACAGAAAACTGCCCTGTGGCCAACCAGAGTGGCCTTCACGGGTCTGGGGTGGTTGGGTGGAAAGAGCCAGAAATTCCAAGCTGCGGGTGGGGCAGGAGGGCCGGCAGCAGCTGCACTTGTCCGTGCTGGGTGGGTCTCTGGAGGCCTCCACCCTCTGTCCCCCCGCAGGGCATCCCGCCCGTTAGCCCGATAGCCAGGGCGGTGCGCTTGCCCTACCTCGACCTCGACGCTCTGGACTTGGAGACCAAGAGGGGGTGTGGCCCATGTGTTACAGGAAGTGGTGGAGCCAGGGTATTTTATGAAAAATAGCACATTTTATGAAAAATCACTGGGACCCAAGCCTATTTCATGGAAAATAGCCGTATTTTTGAGAACGTCATTTTGTTTTACATCTGGGAAGCCTTTGTAACGTCTGGCTCCAGGCCTGTTTCTGCTCTCAGTGCGGTGGCTCAGGTCCCGATGCCCCCAGCAGGTCCCCGGGCCTTCCTCAGGGAACGAGTGGAAAATGCCCATCAAGTCCTCGTATCAGATGAAAATCATCTGACCTCACAGCCCCCAGGAGGGTCCCCAGGACCCAGGGGCTCACAGGCCATGCGAGTGGGAATGGCCACGCTGCCCATCTGGGTCTTGCCGCTCCTCCGCTCTGTCCCGAGAGGGAGGACACGGGGCCCTGCGCCCAGCTCCACCTAAGGGAACACGCCTTTCAGAAGGACATTAGCCTGGCTGGTGGGTCAGTGGTTAGAGCGTCAGCCCACAGCCTGAGGGTAGAGTATTCGATTCCTGGTCAGGGCATGTGCCTCAGGTGCAGGCTCGATCCCCAGCTCCAGTCGGGGCACGTGCCGGAGCCGTCATTGTGGCTCCCGCGCATGGATCTTTCTCTCTTCCCACTCCTCCCTCCCCTCCACTCCCTCTAAAAAAATCAGTGGGAAAAATGTCCTCAGGGGAGGATTAAAACGAAAAGCGGGACATTAGGGAGAGTTAAGAGCAGGGGGGCTGAGATTCTAAAGGTGCCGGTTCCTTACAAAGTAATCCTCGTTTCCGGTGGGGACCTCCCCCTTTCCCAGGACAGAGCAGTGCAGAGTGGTCAGGGAGACGGGCACATGCGCAGCCAAGGGGGTTCTGAGAAGGGAGAGGAACAGGAGGAGCTTAGCACACGATGTGACAGCGCACTAGAAAGGCACCTGTGGGACCGCGGCTCTAGAGCCACACGCGAGACTGGGCTCACTGGTCCTCTTGCGTTTCTGGGTAACAACGACCGTCTAGGCCAGTGGTTCTCAACCTGTGGGTCGCGACCCGTTTGGCGGTCGAATGACCCTTTCACAGGGGTCGCCTAAGACCAGCCTGTGTATCAGATATTTACATGACAATTTGTAACAGTAGCAACATTACAGTTATGAAGTAGCAACGAAAATAATGTTATGGTTGGGTCACAACATGAGGAACTGTATTTAAAGGGCCAGAAGGTTGAGAACCACTGGTCTAGACTGTGCTGGAACATGCTAGAACATGTGGCCATTCACATTTAAATTAATCAAGATCAAAACCTAAAACTTGCTTTTCCAGTCTCACTAGCCATATTGCATGGGTTCCGTAGCCACATGTGGCCAGTGGTTACCGCATCGGCTGACACAGGCCTAGAACATTCCCATCACTGTAGGAGGTTCTTTTTTTTTTTTTTTTAATATATTTTATTGATTTTTTGCAGAGAGGAAGGGAGAGAGATAGAGAGTCAGAAACATCGACCAGCCGCCTCCTGCACATCCCCCACTGGGGATGTGCCCGCAACCCAGGTACATGCCCCTGACCGGAATCGAACCTGGGACCTTTCAGTCTGCAGGCCGATGCTCTATCCACTGAGCCAAACCGGTTTCGGCTGCAGGAGGTTCTGTAACGTCTGACCTGGAAACAGGTCCAGATGCCTATGAGACGTTGTATACGATGCAGGGACATCACAGCCTGAGGAGAGGTGGACATGGGTGTCGGGCCCTGGCCGGTGGGGCTCGGGCTGAGTGGCATCCTGTGACCTCTGGTTGGGTTCCTGGTCAGGGCACAAGCCCGGGTTGTGGGCTCGATCCTCAGTGGGGGGCGTGCAGGAGGCAGCCGATAGATGTTTCTCACGTTGATTTGTTTTTTCTCAAATCAATAAAAACATTTTTTTAATGGGTATTGGATGGCCTCGCTGGTTTGGCTCAGTGGATAGAGTGTCAACCTGTGGACTGAAGGGTCCCAGGTTCGATCCACAGTGTGGGGCGTGCAGATGCAGCTGATCAATGATTCTCTCTCATCATTGATGATTCCATCTCTCTCCCTCTCCCTTCTTCTCTGAAATCAATAAAAATATATTTTAAAAAATTAAGAAAAATAAAAAATGAAAATAAAAATGAAAAGCAAGTTTTAGATTTTGATCTTGATTAATTTAAATGTGAGTGGCCACATGTTCTAGCATGTTCGGCAGCACATGTACTAAAATTGGAACAATACAGAGAAGATTAGCATGGCCCCTGCACAAGGAGGACACGCAAAAGGGGGAAGTGTTCCATATTCTTCCGCAGAAAGTGTGATTCCGTGGGAGGCTGAGGAGGCGGGATGCTTTCTGAGGGCAGAGTGACCTTGGCTGTAAAGAATGTCTGTGGGTTGAAACCACGGAAGCTTTGTCACTGACCCGTGTTCCTGAACCTGAAGCTGCATTTGTGAGGTTAGGAGTAGGTTCTTGTTAAATAAACAGTTAACAAATACAAAAGAAGAAAGTGAATGTAGGGTTAGTTGTTATGCATTTGGGAAAAGCTAAGTAGATCCCTCCTTTACCTTCCGTAGAATGAAGCTTAAGTGAAAGATGTATACGTAAAAACACAACAATAACAAAACAACCGAGGGGAGCCTTTTCCCAAGAAGTACTGTTGAGTGAATGAATGGCTGAGGACGGCCAGACTAAGCCAGACGGAGAGACAGACTCAGCCACAAGGAAAGACTGGTGGAGTGAGTTCCCTGCTGAAAATTAAAAACGTATCAGTGTAGAACATATTAATGTAGAAAGATAAAGAACTAAGAAAAACCGTATCACCAATAGACTATCCTTAAAATTAAGAGTTCTGTAAAGTAATAAAAGCTATGACTAGACCAGTGACAAACTTATTTATTAATTATATCTATAAAAAGCGAAGCGACAGGCCAACCTGCCAGTAGGTATGATGCACACTGACCACCAGGGGGCAGGCGCTTAATGCAGGAGCTGCTGAGCTGCAGTGATGGGTGGTGGTTCTTGGGTGACGCACTCCTGAACCAGAGAGGAGGGAGCCCAATTTCTAGCTGGGCCGCGAGATTCCACCAGGCTGCAAGACCCCACCTACCGGACGGACCCGCTCACTCTGCAGATGCCCTTTGAGCCGTGGCCCTGGTGCCAGCTGGGGAGGGGCTGTGGGAGGTTGGCTCCAGCACATCTGGCCTGTCCCGCCCAGCCCCGCCCTGCCGGCCATCTTCTAAATCATTCCTTTCAATGTGCACTAATCCGTGTGCCGGGTCACTAGTAAAATATAAAGCATGAGATTTACCTTCTACCGGTCTGATTGGCAAAGATTGAACAGTTATTACCCAGTGTGGGCAATGGTGTGGGAGGATGGACACTCCCTGTCGTGCCCCTGCGGAGTCTGGGAAGGCTTCCCGGAGGAGAGGGCCATGAGCTGAACTCGGGCTGTGTGGGCTGCAGGCGTCCGATTTCCTGATTTATGGATGTGCCCCTGAGATGCCGGACCCTGAAGGCCTGTCCCAGGGATGCGCGTGGTGACCTTCATTCTTTCACTGAGCCACGCACTATTTTAAGCATCACAGTCACCCCGTAGGGGCCGTCACGACCAGGGGGCTGGCCGTTTCCTCCCGGTCTCCCCTCTGTCCAGGAGTTGAGCGCTCCCCCTGCAGTGCTGTTCCCCACTCTTCGCTCCCCCTGTGCCGCGCGCATCTCCCCACAGCGTTCCGACCCGCCTGTGGCCGCACCTGCCTGAGCGTCTCCACTGCAGCGGGACCGCCCTGTGCGAGAGGAGGGCCGTGTGTCTAGGAGTCTGGCGGGCTGTGCCACGTGCTCTCCTGGAGCTGAGCCAGCGTGTGCCCATGGGTGGGCGACGACGAGCCATTGGGCGATGAGTGTCTCCAGGGCAGTCCCTGCCGCCACCCTCCTGACCCCGGACTTGTCCCCCACAGACCGAGAAGGACATCCTGCTGCGGCCGGAGCTGGAGGAACTGAGGAACGAACACTCCGCGCGCTTCAAGCTCTGGTTCACGGTGGACAAAGCCCCCGAGGGTGAGTGGTGGAGCCGGGCAGGGCGGGCTGGGGGGCGCTGGGCTCCTCTGGCGCCTGCTCTCCTCTGCATGCTCTCCCAGTGGCCTGAGAGGGACGCTGGAAACCATCAGGGACAGGCTTGAACTCAGGCTCCTCCCCAGCACTGGCTGCACTGCCCCCTGCTGGACGACGGAGGCTGGCCTTCCCCTGGGGCTGGGACTCCCTGTGGGCAGGTCTCCAGGGGCCGAGCGGGGGGCTGATGGCTCCCCACTATGGTTTGTACCCTGCTAGGCCCATTTTTCTCTCCAGTCCTCAGCCTGGGGGTGGGCTAGACTGACAGACGGTCTCCCCTGCCTGCCCAGGTGTTTAAGCTGTTTGCAAGGTCACACAGCTGATTGTGGAGCAGCCAAAACCACGTAGGAGACGGAGTGAGGGCTGCCGCCCCACCTTGAACAGGGTTGCCCTCTGGGAGCTAAACGACTTCATCTCCTGCCTTAGGGAGATGCGGATGCAAACAATTATCTTCGTTGCTGTGGCAAAAGCAGCAGGTCAGGCTTCTTGGTAGATAATAGCGGTGATGTTTGCTTTGGGGTTAGAGGCAATAGGGAGTGGTGGGGAGTGGGGCGAATTGTAGAGCGTCTGCCCCTCAGCTGCATGTCAGTCAGCCGCGCAAGAATCCCGCCTGCAGACCAGGCCTCTCCACTCCTTAAGGGAGCTGGACCTGCATTTTCATGGGAAATTTCAAATGTTAGAAATAACATGTTCTAAGTAGCCACGTAGGCGCCAGCTTGTAATCTCCTTCGGTTCTGCCAGCCCCCCTTGCTTGGCCTTCAGCTTCTCACCCAGCCCCACAGTTCACTGGGACTCAACCACGTTGTGAGGAACACACCGCTCTCTGTTCCTCCCAGAAATGAGCAGATGGGCTCTGGGCTGGGCCCATCCCCGGGAGAGGATCCTCCCTCCTGGGCGACCAAATCGGGTCCTGGCCCTCCTGGCCGAGAGCCAGACCCGGGCTGGATGGACTGCGGACCTGATGGCTGTGACCCGAGGCCTCTGGCTGGACCGGCCATCCTGGGCCAGCTCACCTGGGTTACAGGTTCCCTCCCGGTTGGGGCCCCCGCTGTAGGTGCTCATGAAGCCAGCCTGGCCCCGGGGCTGATGTTCCAGTGGGAAGGAAGCAGGTTTATTAGTAACTCACAGAGCATGGTAGCAGGTGGCCAGTGAGACCCGGGAAGACGGTACCGTTGGTCGGGCAAGGCCTTGAGTGAAGGCCGGGGGGTGGGGAGGTGGGGGTGGGCGCACTGGTTCTGCGAGTCGGAGCTGCTCTTCCAGCAAAGAAAGGAACCTTTCTCTTGCACCCAGGTCTCAACCAAAAGGGGAGAGGAGGGGTAGGTAGCTCTGTTCTGGTGCAGGTTCTGGAGTGGTAGGGGAGGCTCACCAGCCACACGGGAACCGCCTTGCCTGTTGCCAATGGACGGCCGTCCACTGGAGGAGGGGCCACCACTGACCCCTGCTGGCGGCACACGGCAACGCCAAGACCAAAGGCCGCCTCCCCGGGACTGTTGAGCAGGACCAGGTCGGGGCCCAGGGAGGGCCGTGGGCTTTCTCCTCTCCTTTACATTTATGCTTAGCGTCCCTGACCCCGTTTCGAGAGCACTGAGGTGCGGCTGTAACGTTAGCAGAAGCTGGACTCGTAGAAGCTGAGGAAGAAGTGGCAGCTGAGCAGCACAGCCATCCTGAGCTCAGCGGGGGCACAGGAGGGGCCGCCCATGTGGCAGACGCAGCGGACACGCTCCCCCATAAGCCACCCCCGTGCACGTGTGAGGAAAAGCACAGTCTGTAGAAATGGAGGTGTGCCATAGGCCTGCACACTCCATCGTGAGCAAATACAGCTCCGTTCCGTGCGGTTTTTTACGAGGTCCTTTCAGATACGTTCCCAGCTATAACGATGTCACGTGTCTGTGCCTGACTCATTCCAGAAGGCTGTTAGGCAGCTTAAGAAGGCTCCCAGCATGAGTCAGAGGGTACAAACAGAGCGGGTGAGGAAGACAAGGGCAGGGCGTGACATAGAATCAGGAACGAGGTTTGTACAAAACCATGGACTGGGATGCACACTTGCTGCAGCTCCTGAGCTTCCCAGCAGCCAAAGGGAAAAGGGGATGTGGCAGTGCCCATACGATAGAGAATGCTCCATGGCTCAGCACCCCATTGCCAAGGCGAGTGGGACTGTGGCCCCTGGCACGGGACCCCATGGAGCGGTGCCGTGAGTGTCCGTCCAGCTAGGTCCTTGGTCTCCTGCGCCTGCCCTTGGCTTCCAGAGCTGTTTCCGTTGGTGTCCAGGGCTTTAGCGAGGCTTTTCCAGCCTGAAAACAGACCAGCCAGGTAATCGGGGCTCAGGGTGGAAGGACTCAGAGCAGAGCCGTCCCAGCCTCTGCCAGCCCTGGCGGGGCACTGGGCCCTCTAAGCCAGCGTCCCTCCGTCTCCTCCCCCTCCCATCTGCTGCCCTCCTCCCTCCCCCTGCTGCCTCTCCCACCATCCCCGCTGCCCTTGTGCCCCTTACCCCAGAGCCCAGCTAGAAGATCTGCCTGGGTGACCACCCCCCCATTGGCCAGAGCGCACGGCAGGCCTGGGCTGGGCACTCACGGTGGGATCAGGAGGTGGCCAGTGGGCTCCTTGGAGGGGAGGCAGCCGTTTGTCTGTGTCTCGGGCTGAGCTGCTCGGCACAGGGGTCATGTGAGAGCCTCAGTCCCCAAGGAGTGTGTGTCCCGCCCGAACCTGGGAGCCGTGAAGGAACGTGAGCTTCACACCGGGTCCCTCCTTACTCGTCTGAAAGAGGAGGCAATGGTTAGGCAGCACGTTTGAAAGATGGGCGACCCCCTCCCCCCTGGACCGCGTGGCCCCGTGCGGTAGGCAGGATGGCACTGTGAGGACACGTGGACACTGAGGCACAGCGGGGTCGATGCCCAGCAGATGGGAAGCCAGAGTCAGAGAGGGGGTGGCTCCCCTTCCTCTCTTCTGCCCCTGGCGGTGCCCAGCGGTCAGAGCCCCACCTTCCCATCGGACTTCTGCCAGCCTTCGGTCCCCATCGGTCCTGCACCCCTCTGAACAGCCCCTACAGCGGGCCGGCCCCTGAGGGTCCGGTTCGACTAGAGCCCTTGCCAGCCTAGGTGCCAGGTTCTCACCAAGGGCACCGTCAGTCACCCGGAGGAACGAAGGGAGGTTTCAGACCTCAGGCAAACCTGGGGACACACTGTGTGCGAGATGGGGTGCGGGCAGGGCCAAGACCGCTGTGTCTGGGTCTTGCTATTTCCAGGCTCATTCACTGCTGGTTTGGGACACATTCCTTCCTTCATTATTAATTGAGCAAGTACTATGTGCGGGCTGTCTGGGCACTGGGAACACAGCGCATGGGCTGGCACCCTGGTGGCGGCAAGTCAGATGGGCCGTGGATGAGGTGTTGGTAGAGACTGTCACCTTGACCAGCCTGGAGCTGGACACTGGCTTGGGGACAGACCCCTGGGACCTGGAGTCCACATCCTAGCCGAGCGGACGCCTCCGTGTGTGACCTTGGGCAACTCAATTCTGGGTCCTCTGGGCCTCAGTTTCCCCGTCTGTAAAATGGGATCCTTAGCCCTCTCGCTGTCCACACACTGGTGGTTCTGAGGGCCAAATGGAAATGAAAGGTTTTGTGAACCGGAGACCCAGAAGGGCTTGCGTTGTGCTGTGGGCAGGCCAGGCTCGGCGGGCATCAGCGCGAGGGTGGCGTGGATCAACCTCTTCCCTCTTAAGTGTTTGTCCGGAGAAGGGAGCATTCTCGGGCCAGACCTCATCTGCCATGGGAGGGGTGCTGGGCAGGGGGGCCGTGCTTGGACTCACCTAGTCTCTACCCCCCCACCCCACCCCCCGCAGTTTGGGACTACAGCGAGGGCTTCGTGAACGAGGAGATGATCCGGGACCACCTCCCGCCGCCGGAGGAGGAGCCGCTGGTACTGATGTGCGGGCCGCCGCCCATGATCCAGTACGCCTGCCTGCCCAACCTGGACCGCGTGGGCCACCCGAAGGAGCGCCTCTTCACCTTCTGATGGCCGGGCACTGCTGCGCGCATGCCCGCCCCCGCCCCCCCCGCCACCTTTACCCTCACCCCCCACATCCCTCACTGTGGCCCGAGCTCGGCCTGGCCTGCCCATGCCCGCCCGGCGGTCAACCTGCTGGGCTGGCCCCCAAGGCGCCCCTTCGGGATCAGGGTTCGGTTACTGTAGACGCCACGGCCGCCTTCAGGACAGGCTCCTGTCTGACCCTCTGGTTCTTACAGTGATGGCGCCTGGGCGCAGTCCCTCCCTCAGCCCCACTCCGCACACTACTGGGCCAAGGCCGCCAGCACCCAGCTCCACTGCCCTCCCAGAGCAGACCACAGGCGGAAATGACCGGAAATACACGGCAGTCAGAGCTGCGGGTGCCGGGGACTCCCCTGCCACCACCTGGGGACCCCCGCCAGCGCCCTCACTACCTGCCACGGGGCCAGGCCAGGCGTCAGCACCTGACACTACAGGGCAGGTACCACCCAAAGGTCCCCTTGGCAGGGACTGCTGGGGTGAGAGGCTGCCCCCCCAGGGCTGGGAGGAGGGGCCGGCTGAGGGCCCCCCCCCGGCACATGGCCCTCCCAGACCCTCCACATCTTCCCCATGCACCCAGACACTGGGCAGCTTTGGGAGTTCCAAGCCGTCGGCTCGGTGGTTAGAGCGACCACTTCAGGGTGCTGGGCCCCAGCCCTGACGGCAGAGGGAGGACAGAGCTACTGGTTATTTCTTCTTCTGCCCCGAACCCGCCCTCCTGCTGCCTGCGCCCCCGCCCTGCGTGGGGGAGACTTAGCAGAGCCTCTTGTCCGCGCCACATTCTCAGTGGCCGCGTCGTTGCCTTTAGACAGCAGTGGGCTAGCCTCTTGCCTATCAGCTTTTTCAGAGTCATTTATGAGCAGAAAAAAGTTGAAATAAAACTTCGCTAATGGTAACCCTCGTGTGGCTCCCTGAGCTGTGACCTGTGTCCCTGTGGGGGGCAGGAGGAGGCAGGCTGCGCGGGCCTGGCACCTAGTGCAGGAAAGTACACGGGAAAAGCCCGCCCCGAGGCCAGCGCTGGTGACCAGTGACGCCACACGCGCCCCCGAGTGGCCCTGCTTTTCCCCGATGCCGGGGGGTTGGGGGGCTCTCCCTGTCCTCACTCACCAGGACCCCCGCGGTCGGACAGTCGGCTGTTTCCAGTTGGTGGATTCTGAGTGACTGGCTGCTTCACCTCCTTCCAGGCTGTCTTCTAGGACAGATTCCTGGGGGCAGGGGCCGGGCTGGGGCTGGACCCCGGGAGGCCAGCGCTTAAACTCCCCGCGTGCCCATCCTGTTCATGTCAGATCCCCGAGGTGAGGCCTGGCGGGACCTCAGGTCTGTCCCGGGCTCTCCGCATGTCCCAGGGGCTTCCTGTTAGTTCTCTCCGCCCGACAGCCCCGAGGGAAGCAGGGCAAAGTCATCAGCCCCACTTCTGCTGCAGAGACGGCTCAGCAAGCAATGGCTTTGGGGTTGGAGGTGGGGCCTGGTGAGGCCGGTGTCCTGCCCTGTGGAAGGCTCCATGGGGAAAGGCGCTCACTGGTTTCCACACCCATCTCACCAGCCATTCCACGTGCTGGGGACTCTGGCTGCCCCACGCGTGCCTCCCTGCTCCTGGGCAGCTAGTGAGCAAGGCACCTGGCAAGGAAGCAGTGGTGGTAATTGCCAGGGAGGGAAGCCCTGCCAGGAGAGGACCTGCGGGGCTGTGGCGGGAAGTATCCGCCCTGCTGGGGTAGGTGTTTGAGGTGGTGGGAACAGCAAGGGAAGAGCCCTTGTGGTCAGAACAAGCTCGTGGAATAGACTTCCAGACAGATCAGAGGAGGCAGGTGGCTGAGGTGATACTGCAGATGAGGTTGGATCGGAATGACCAGCAAGTGCAAAGGCCCTGGGGCAGGGACCTGCTGAGAGGCGCAGGGAACATGGTAAAGGCCAGTGTGGCTGGAGTGGAGGGGGGAAGAGGAGGAGATGGGCTAGTTAACACGAAAAGAAGCGTCCCTTTTTCCTCTCTTCTGTCTCCAGTGGGCAGGAGAGGGACTGACCTGGGAACCCCAGGCCCCTATGGCCCTTCACACCCACTGTGTGCTGGGCTCTGCTGAGCACTGGAGACACAGTCAGTCTCCTCATTCCTGCCTCCATCTGGAGGGTGAGAAAACGGGCCTGAGGGTCAGGGTCTGAACGCACACCTGCCTGCGCCCGCTGGAAGCTGTCTCCTGGAGCAGGGAAGAAGGGCATGAATTGTGTCTGGTCTCCCCTCTCCTGGTCTCAGTTTCCCCACCTGTAAAATGGGTACATGAACTAGGTCAGTGATTCTTCACCCTCTCAGACCTGAGAAGTGAATTCACAGGTAATATCACTAGTCTGTACAGAATTTAAACACACACACAGTTCTAACTACGTTATAAAAGAGCAAGAAAGAAAAGGAATTTATAAAATGGGGTTCGGTCAGGGTTTGCCCAAATGCCAGGCCCCTGAACTGCCCGATTGCAGCCGGGCTCCTGGGCTCCCAGGCGGGCACAGTTCTTGGTCAATTTCCAAACAAAGCAGGACCCAGTTCCTCGGCTCCTGCACAGCTACCTTCCTGGCAAGTCCATGTTTTTCACTCCGGACAAAAGTCCCGCGTGTTCATACAAGAATTGGAGCGAAGCCTGGCTCAGTCGCAACCAGCCTCTCAGCTCCAGGAATGTCGCTGGGGTTGGGAGACTGTCCCAGCTCCACGTGACCGGATCTCTGTCCTCTGGACAACCAAACAGGACTCCACAAAGCTCGGAAATGCCCCTGGGGAGGCACCCCGCTGAGAATCCCAGAATAAATTGATTTCAGTTGTGCTGGCTTTTAAAAATCATTGAAGTGACTTTTATACCTTTCACTTAAGGCACCACAGGGCTTTAACTCCTGCACCCTCTGGCTGCTTCCTGGTTCTGCACCTGCCCACCACGGTCCAGCTGGCCCCGGCTGGGGCGGGACCTGGGCCTCCCTTCTGCACCCCTGGGAGGGAGAGGGATAGTGGCCACTGTTGGCAGCTGAGAAAAGGAAGGCCAGCCAGCACCCCATCACAGCCGCCCAGGTGGGACCTGGATTCCCCCTGTCTGGTGCCCAAGCCCAGAGCTCTTGCCCAATTTTTCCATGGAGCTTCTGGTGCCAGATTTGTAATGATTATTTCAGAGAAGGGAGAGAACCATTGATCAGCTGCCACCTGCATACCCCACACTGGGGATCGAGCTCTCAACATCGCATGTGCCCTGACCGAGAATTGAACTGTGACCTCCAGGTTCATAGGTCAGTTGACACTCAATCACTGAGCCACCTCAGTTGGGCCTGATGCCAGATTTTTAATTGTAGTGTGATGTTCTGTCCAGTGCACATAACTCATTAACCAAAGTCACAATTTATTTTTATTTTTATTTAAAGTGGACTTTTTCATACTTTTAAAATACATTTTTGAGTTCAGAGAGGAAGGGAGAGGGACATAGATAGAAACAACAATGATGAGAAAGAATCATTGCGCCCCCTACTGGGGATAGAGCCTGCCCCCGAGCATATATGTCCTTGACTGGAATCAAACCGGGACCTTTCAGTCCGCAGACCTACCCTCTATCTGGGCCAAACCGGCTAGGGCCAATGTCACAATTAAAAAAAAAAGAAAAGAGTACATAACTCCACTCGCAGTGTTGGACTAAGAAAATAATTAACAGCTCAAGCACTAAGCTATTTGCATCTGCAGGGCCAAGTGTGGCTCTGGGACTGAGCCAGGCGGCCCTCCACTTGTCACCCGTCACCCCGGTGAGCACTGCCTCTTAATACGTCACAAAGGGAGCGCCTACTGTATGCCGCCGTTCCGGGGTTGCCCAGCAGACAGACAACGGCTCCCCAGTTCCTCCTCTGCCTTCACACCAGCCTGTCCTTTAAGCGTGAGCCTGTCCTTTAAGCGTAGCATGGCCCCTGCAATCGCAGCACCCAGGCATCCCGCAAAGTAGGCGGGTCACCTCAGGGGCAACCTTTACCCGCTCAAAAATTCGTCTCACATTAGCAGTGAGGATTCGGGCGTCACCCCGAATCGTTATTTTCCTTACTCATAAGTTTAAGGCATAAAGGGGCTCTTCCGTTCCTCGCTACATGGTGATTCCGAATCTCATTAGTGCTACGGTGAGTGTAAAAGTTGACCGTTGAACTGAGATCCCCGTCCCTTTAAAGTTGATCTTAACACTAGTTAATATTTTATGTCGCTTTTCGTTTTATTTGTCCGGCGCGGGGAGAGAATAGAGATGATAATGACCTCACACTTCGTATGCAGATAAGCGGCTAGCGCCGCTAAGGCTCACGGGGAGCGCTCCGCCCCTTCCGATTCTTGCCTGCTTTGAACTGTCGCGAGAATTCGTCAAGGAAACGCCGGAAACCGCTCCTCAGTAGCGGCTGAAGGGGCGGTCTCGAGGAGTGAGGGAATCCGAGCTGCTCCGTGGTGCAAGATGGCGGACATCTCCCTGGACGAGCTTATCCGGAAACGGGGAGCTGCGGCAAAGGGGCGGTAAGCAGCCTTTCCTCCCTTCGGGGTTTAGGGCCCGTGGCTTAGCGC